AGGTTACAAGGTCTCCAAAGGTATTATAAGACCTGACCCAGAACGCATGCGCCCCATAAGAGAACTCCCACTTCCAGAGAACGGGAAATCGCAGCAAAGAGCCGTTGGTTTGTTTGCCTACTATTCACAGTGGATACCGGCGTTCTCTGACAAAATTCATCCATTGGTTAAAAACAAAATATTTCCGCTCCCGGAGAATGCCCGAACAGCATTTGAGAACCTTAAACACGAACTAGAAAATGCGATGGTAGTTACTGTCGACTACAATATTCCTCTCGTTGTTGAAACTGATGCGTCCGACATCGCTATTGGTGCATCCCTGAGCCAGGGTAGCCGGCCGGTCGCCTTTTTCTCCAGAACCTTGACTGCAAGCGAGAAAAATCATTCTGCTGTTGAAAAAGAAGCATATGCTATAGTTGAAGCGATCCGCAAATGGCGCCACTATCTCCTCGGGAGACATTTTAAATTGATTACGGATCAACGTTCGGTAGCCTTTATGTATGGGAACCAACAGAAAAGTAAAATAAAGAACGACAAGATTGAACGGTGGAAAATCGAGTTGGCAGGGTACAACTACGACGTCGTCTATAGACCTGGAACAGATAACCGCGTTGCTGATACCCTATCTCGTAACCTTTGTGCCAACATTACTGGGACGGAAAAACTTGAAGAGCTTCACAACATATTATGCCATCCCGGGGTCACGAGATTTGCACATTTTGTTCGTTCTAAGAATCTTCCTTTTTCAGTCAGCGATATCCGACGTGTGGTGTCCAACTGTTCCACTTGCTCCGAGCTCAAACCAAAATTTTGTGACACCTTTCGTGGCCAGCTTATCAAAGCCACACAACCGTTCGAACGCCTTAGTATCGACTTTAAAGGCCCACTTCCCTCAAACACTCGTAATAAGTACCTCTTAACAATCGTTGACGAGTATTCTCGATTCCCTTTTGCTTATCCCTGCGCCGATACGTCCTCTTCCACTGTAATTCGTTGTTTGAGTCAACTGTTTTCACTGTTTGGTATGCCTGCTTATATTCACTCAGATCGCGGTTCTGCATTCATATCAACTGAACTCAAACAATTTTTGTTCGATAAAGGCGTTGCCAGTAGTCACACCGCTGCATATAATCCACAATGTAATGGTCAGGTTGAACGACTTAATGGTACCCTTTGGAAGACCATCTGCCTGGCTCTAAAATCGCGCGGCTTGCCTGTCACACATTGGGAGGCTGTCCTCCTTGATGCTCTTCACTGTATCAGATCCCTGTTATGTACTAGTATCAACTGTACCCCACACGAACGTTTTATGCCGTTCACACGACGATCAGCCAACGGTGCCTCCCTACCTACCTGGCTTACTGTCCCTGGGCCAATCCTTTTAAAACGCAATGATCGAGTCTCTAAATATGACCCTCTGGTAGAGGAAGTGGAACTCGTCTCTTGTAATCCACAGTACGCCCACATAGTTCATCCAGATGGCAAACACGAAACCGTATCCTTGCGCCACTTGGCTCCCAAAGGCAACGACATGACATCCCACACAGAACGGGAACCAATACATATCGCCGAACAAGGGGAGCCTCACACAACACCAACAATCCACCGTGCTCAGAAACTGAACTCTTGCCTATTAACGATGCCTCGCCATCCCATTCTAGTGCAGATCCAGGAAATCACTTGGACATTTTTATCCGACAACAGCGCACTCACCCATATAATCTACGCAACAGAGAGGCGTAAACGACTCCATGTAACTATTACAGCCTTTTATTTTTTTACATTCTTTCTCCGCAAAGTACACACTTATTCCAAGGCGGGGAGAATGTCATGACTATATAACCCCCCATACATTTGCATAACCCATTAACTCGTGATTCTCACTCTATTTTCAGCTCATGTACTACAGTTATTAGACGATTAAAGCGTACATTACGTCTTCCTATTCTGTCTCCTTTCTAATCTCGTCCTGGAACTACTCGACTCTCGCAACAATGACGTTGTCTGGATATTCCAGATTGACGAGGTTTTCGTCAGCAGCTAGTTGAACATCAGGGCTTTGAGGTCTTTCCAGCGTTCGCCTCACTAGTTTGTCGATCATAAATTAGCATAGAGGTGGATTGAGTATCCCTGCCGGAGACCACTTTGTTTACCAGCGCTGTTGGAGAGTTCTGCGTATAATCTCACAAGCCTGATAGTCTGAGAATTCAAATAACATAGTGGAAAATTTCTGGGACTTTCCTTGCAGGCCAAGGATGGTGGGGAACAATGAGAGGCCAACTAAGCCAAATGTGCGTTGGAAATCCAGGAACACCGAAATAGCCTATACGCACAGTACAGTTCCAGGATTTAGAGTATTTTGTAAACGCAACCTCTATTTAGTCGTAAGCACGCTTGCTCTTGTCGAGTCAACGTTTCACTGGTCACCACAAGGCGACCACAAGCGACACCAGGGGTTTTCTTCCGATTGCAGTCAAGATGACCTCTATGACTGCCGTGCCTGCTGAGGGACAATTTTTTTTAAATAGCCACCATTACAGATTCTTTTCAGTTGCACGGAACAGTCTCCTTTTCCAAAACAGACAAATAGATCAATACCACACAATTGGTGTGGTAACTAGTGATAACTTGTGAGTATAAAAATGAATGGCGCGAAATGGCGCGAATTTACTGACCGGAAGGTCTGTGGGTCGGAACCGACTTCTGAGTCTCGACTTCCCCTGTCTAGGCTTGGGCAGCCTGGCAGTATCCAAGCCCTCGTGCTTCCTTCGGGAGGGATGGCAGCTAGGCACCGAAAGAGCGCGACAACTGAGCGATATTATCTTTGTGAAATGAAAAATAGTGGCTGTGTTCCCCGGAGTGATAATATAACGACATGTGAACGAGACCCTGCTGAGCAGCGAGGCAGCTCGGTGTGCTGTCCGAGTCAAAGCGTAGTATAGTCCATTGTTCTATCTCGACCATCATTACGTTATATTATTCTGAAAGAATCGAGTCGGCATATAACTAGGCCATGGATACTTTCAGCAACGAGTTCCAGACACGTATACTTTGTCAAAAATCTATAACTGCGTTGATTGACGATAGTGTGTTGTGGCGATGGCGGTTGGTGGCTCTGGCGAAAGCAATCAACGCCAACTATAGAAAGTGGATGTTTTGGGAAATCTGAACGTGAATTCTAGATCACATTGTTCACTCCTAAATGTCACTGACCAAGCGCGATTAACCATCCTAAGCCCTGGAAATGCACCTGTATGAATGGTATACGTTGCACTTGGTTGAGAAACCTGACCTCCCAGTCCGGTCAAGGATTTTATCTCCCTATATGTAGTCGGAGTGCTATGAGTAGTGAGCCTTCAAAAGGTTGTACGGTTCCACGTAAAATCCCCTGGTGTCAGCTAACCGTGAAAGTAGGTTTCCGAAACTAGGCAACTCCTCATGTCGTTTCGAATAGAGATGATAAGAGTTTTTCGGGAAATCATATTGTTCGTTCAGTTATATCACCCTTTCGGTGCCTAGCTGACATATCACGCGAAGGAAGCACGAGGGCTGGGTAACTGCTAGGTCGGTAGCATTAAACCATCATCAACATCGTCGTCACTGATGGCTTATAACCAGTTTTCAAAACTGGTGCTGTGCTGCCTCCAAAACAATAACAGCGGTCAGAAAAACCGGCCGCTGATGCTCGATTTCGAGATACCTGAGGCTGATAGTGCCGGCTGACGCGCTATACTAGACGAACGGGGTCGTCGGATACGTCAGATACACCACTCGGCTAAAGGATCAGGTTGTAACTCAGTAAAGCCGGACTGCGCGTAGCCATATCGTAAACTACACTCTACAAAAAGAGGTGGACGTGCTTAATTTCGAGTTTGTGGGCTACAAAATGACGGGCTTCCAAAATTCGTTGTGAAATCTAGTCCGCACCTCCACAAGTCGATAAGTAGCTTGCAGGTTAATGAAGCTGTGGAATAGGATATTGCATTTTTGACAGCGAAAAACAAGCGATATGACCGACAAAATCCACAACTTGCATTTCCTAAGCGTTAAGAGCAGTCAAAAAGATGACATCTGCGAATTACAGATAAGTAGCTCTACGGTAGTATCATGTATAAGACGCCCAGTACACTGCAGAGGATGTCACCGAGGAAATCGACCTGGATTGAGGACACGCGACGGCCTCATCGCCGAAGAAGATAAGAGTGCAAGGGCACCCAAACTCGCTCTGAAGTTTGATTGTGTAGTGCCTTGGTTATTTCGGACTCCATCTCTTAATATCTTCATAGGATTTCTAGAATGACAGGATTGAAGGCTACTAACATTTATGTGTGCAGAAGCTGTCAAGTTGCAGTGTGGCGAAGTTCTTATAACTGAAAAATTGTGAACATTTGACCTACACAACTACGACCAGCGCGAGAAACACCAATGACTGATATGAGCAGATTGTGCCAGTCATGTTTTTAGAGAGTACCATGAAGCCAAACGAGTTCGGGTATTCCGGAAGTTACTACTTCATGGAACAGTTTAAAATCATCGTTGTCAAAGATAATGAGTCCAATTCAAGTCGACCATCCAAGTGGTTTTCAACTGCGTTAAGTCTAAACACTTGTGCATTCAAATCAGCGGGAACAATAACTATATCCGAGCCCCATTCCACTGTAGAAAGATAGTAAATGAATAATCAAAACGTCCGTTGAAGCGCAGGCAGCTCAGCCCAGTTTATCAGGTATGACCTTCGTACAGGAGCGCGTCGGTCCCAGCAGCCACAGTGAGGGAGATATAACCAGACCGTCGAGGCGACGGCATAGTCAGTTGGCATTTAACCAGCTCTGTAATCAGCTATAAACTCAGTACGGTGGAAATATAGCGTAGAGCACGTTATCAGAGAAAAACACGCGAAATACAGGCGGTAGGTCATACTGTCAAACATCCACATCAAATACTCAGAAGTCAACTAGCCAGTCTGTAACCCAAAAGCAACATGCCTGCATAGTGCGTACCGGTATTATTTTGACCATTTGTCAAATCTGTTAACACTTTGATCCACATTTCCTTGTCCTGTTCTGATAAAGCTTTCAGGTGGTGCTTCCGCCCAGTAGCTTCAACCAAGACAAAGGAAGTCTGAGAGCTAGGGATCACCAGTGTGGCATCCTTCAAGTTAAACGTTCCACGACAGCGCCGCCCAACTGCCTCGGGGCACCTGATGAGTCGAATAGTTTTTAACCTGTCTACGTTACCTGTAATATGATAGAAGATCATTTTGCAAGAGGAACCATCGCTTTTTATATCCTTTGAGGATATTGGTCCATTTGAGTAAATATCCCGAGACGATGTTCGACTCCCCCATTCTGCAACCATCCGCCGTCAGAGGTAGGCTTACTGTGCGAGCGGAATCTTCACTGTACCTATTCGGTGCGATCTTCCTATTGGTTGTCCCTGACTTGTGATTGATCAAGGACAGACCGGAGTGTGGATTGTCAGGCCGACATTTACGATCAGTTAGGCATTTTACGGTTATTAGGCCTCCGTTTTTCTCCTGGGAAATAGTTTTGGTATGGATTACTGAAGTCTGAATTTAAGGCGAAACGCTAGCTCATTATGGGATTCACCGATTCAAGGATTGATACACAGGATCGAGGCTGTTGCTCAAGTTTCACGGGGCTCTTTGGTTATTGTCGGTCAGTGGCTGTCGTTCACCTGAAAGGCATAAGTGAAAAAAGCGTGTAGCACTGCTCTTTGTGTTCTCAGCGCTGGGCAGTATGCTTGCCACCACGAGGATTCGCATAAATAAATGTCTAACAGTGCTTTAAACTGGGTCCTAGAAGGAGCGTGGAAAACCGTCGGGGTGTGGCGTTTCTACCTTTGTTTTACTTCCATTATAACACTACGTATTTCATCAATTGCCTAACCGTTTTTTGTTTGAATACGAAAAACCACAAAAACGCGCACTTGTACAATTTCACAGAATACGAGCGTGGTCACGTGCTTTGACTCTCTTTTCTGATTTCGCTCGCACTTGCAGCGGTCATTCGCGGGTCTCATGTAGTGACTCTGGTACCAAAACATTTCAGACCTCTTCGGAATCTATTATATGTGGGAACTGTTCAGAAGAAGACCTCTGGACCAACCTAATTGGATTATTGTTTATTCGCTGACCTGGGCCAACGACGAACTATTTTAAAGAGAACAATTTTTAGTGAGTCTGTTCCGTCTGGTCTCTTTGTTTCTGTATACCCAACCTAGCGCAATTATTTTTATTTCTTTGCCACACACTCCTGGTAAACTAACTTGTTGGGTAGCCAAACCACTACACCATATAGGAACTAGTTCGTTCATGGGTTTTGCGAGCAGACAGCACAATAAACTGACCAGTACTTCGAAGTTTTGGCACAAACTCAGTGCAGTGAAGCTGTCTTTGGGCGCAGGTAACAATCTCGGTCGGCAAACAAATATGTTGAACTACTGACAGGCGATCAGAGTGGGAAAAGCAGTCTCGGTGCTGTCATCGCGACGTGGTTCATGGGTTCGCGGGCAGCCCCGTAGATAAATGCTTTCGGTTAGTCATCCGGGATACTAATGGTAGCCCGCCCGCCTTTGCAGCGTTCATTCCGGAGTCTCGGAATCTATTATATGTGGGAACTGTTCAGGAGAAGACCCCTGGACCACCATAATTGCATTATTGTTTATTCGCTGACCTGGGCCAACGACGAACTATTTTAAAGAGAACAATTTTTAGTGAGTCTGTTCCATCTGACTTCTTTATTTTTGTATACCCAACCTGGCGTAATCATTTTTATTTCTTTGCCACACACTGTTGGTGAACTAACTCATTGGGTTGCCAGACCACTACAAATTTGGTGTCGTCGTAATTTTGTTAGTTTGCCCGGTAATTATGGAAGCACACTTTGATTCAGCGGATTTAATCGAGAACGCAATTAGCATACCTTTACCAGACTACAATCCACACAACCACAGGGTATGCTTTCACCAGGTGGAGGCCGTTTTTGCTGCCCGACGCATCACTTCCCAAGTCACCCGGTTTTCCTCTGTTGTCCAGCATCTTCCTTGGGATGTAGCAACAGAAGTTGAAGATCTGTTGGAAGATATTCCTGACGAAAATCCGTATGACGCCCTTCAAGCGGCCGTCATAAGTAGGACAGGGAAATCAGAAAACAAAATGCTACGGGATCTATTCACCACTGTCGAACTTCGGGACAGATCGCCATCACAAATGCTTCGCCACATGCGCAGTCTCCTCTGCGGCCGTAAGCGAGCGATGGAAATCATGGCCCAACTATGGCTTGACAAACTCCAACCCTCCATATCCCACGTCATCAGCGCTTTCGTTGATGACCACAGCTTAGAGCAGCTAGCCCAAATGGCAGATAATATACACGAAACATACCCCAGTTACCCCGTAAACTCCTTTTCCCGCCCTGCACCCACCACAGATTCCGACGCGCTTCTTGCTTCTATATCGCGCCTACAAGCCAAGTTTGACGCTTTGACCGATCGCCCACAACGGTTAGAGATCAACAGGCATCGACCGCGTTCACGATCCAGATCGTTGTCTCGTGCACATCCCTCTTGGTGATGGTATCACCAATCTTATGGCCCAAAGGCACGCAAGTGTCAACCACCTTGTTCCTTCAAGCCGCGTTTTAAAACCCCTTTAAACACCCCGGCCAGTCAGTAACGGCGACGACTGT